GCTGCTTGTCTTCCGATCCAGCTCTCTGCTATGGCCTGGGAAAGCAGAAGATGGCCCAAGTGCTTGGGCCCCTGTGCCTGCACGGGAGACCCAGAAGAAGCTCCTGGCTCCTGGCTTTGGATCAGCTCAGCTCTGGCAGTGCGGCCATTTGGGGGGAGTGAACCAGCAGATGGAAGACCTCTCGCTCTGGCTCTACCTCTCTCTGTAACTCTTTCAAATAAAATCTTTAAAGAAAAATTATTTCTCAGGGGTTGGCATTGTGACGTGACAGGTTGAGCTACCGCCTGTGGGCCCGCATCCCATATGGAGGTGGTTGAAGTCTCGCGGCTTGGAAAGGTCAGTGGAAGATGGGCCAAGTGTAGGTACCCCTCCCACCCATGTGGGAGACCGATGAAGCTCCTGGCTCTGGCCTGCCTCAGCCCTGACAGTTGTGGCCTCGTGGGTAGTGAACCAGTGGATAGAAACTCTTTTTCAAATAAATCTTAACAAGTGTCTGGAGGAGCCACCTGTAAGAGCCATCGTATTTCTGCCCAGAGACTTTTTCCTGGACTTGGCATTGAGTTTTCCCAGCAGCAAGGGCATGGCCTGCACCTTGGCATCTGTCGGGGCTCTCCCCTGAGACACTGGCGACCTTGGCTGTGAACTCTCGCACTTCCTGGGCAGCCCCCAAGTACCAGTAGCATGACAGAGTAACGGATGTATTCATGAGGTAAAGGCCAGAGTCCCTGCTGACAGCTGTCCCCTTAGGGGCGGGAGATGGCCCTGGCGTTGTAGCAGCTCCACGCCTGGCTCTGTCCTGGTCCAAAGCCGCGGGGCTCAGCCTTTGTGTCTCCGGAGGTCAGAGGCTCTGGCGGGTCCTGGGTGGCCCAGGCGGTGATCTGCGATGGCCCCGGCTGCTTCTGGCTGCTGGTGCACTGGACAGTGGCGCTACTGTCCCCATGAGGCTCCTCCTCGGCCCGCCGACCCCACTCCCGCCTCCCTGCGGCCCCCACACCCAGGCTGGCACCTTTCCCTTGCCCTCAGTGGCTCCAGCTTTTTGCAAATGTCCGTTTCCTTCTCGCTCCGTGTTCCCCAGGGGTAAGTCCCCTGGGGCTCCCTTGGGTGTGAGCAGCATAGCACCCACCTGCGTCAGATTCAGGGGCTTCCGGCCTGAGACTGGAGGCGTTTCCAGCTGGGGTCACCCCCCCGGCCCCCGCGGGCATCGTGGTTCAGCTCAGGGGAGATCGAAGCTGGGGTCGCTCAGGCCTTTGCCACCTCAAGCTCCTCCTTGCAGGGATCTTTCTCAGCCGCGGCCGCCGCCACTCCCAGCCCCACCCCCGCAGCCGGGCCCGGCCCCCACCCCGCTGTCTCTGAAGACGTCTGTGGCTCACTGTGTGCGATGTCTTTCATCCCTTCTGCCAGCCCTGTGAGCCCGCGGGCCACCCCTGTGCGCCCCCTGCCTGGACACCAATGGGTGGGAGAACACTCTGCCTTTCAAATAAATACACCTTAAATGACACACACACACAGATACATACACACACAGAGATACACACACACACAGATACAGAGACACACACAGACACACAGATACACAGATACACAGCACCTGAGGGAGAAACCAACTCCTCAAAGAAACAGCACTGGGGCAGGGGGTCTCCCAGTGGCTCCCTCCACCTGGGACCCCTCCCAGCACAGGGAGGCAGGAGCCCTGGGTAAGGGGCTACTTGGGTCTCCTTTGAGCCTCAGAATCTCTGGGTCCTGGACGCCTCAGGGGACATTATGGGGACCCCCGGGCAGCCTGCGGGGCGGCTCCACGCCATGCCTTGGGGTCTGACTTAGATGGCCTGGCCCCTTAGGTAACACTGGCCGTCCATCCTCCTGGTGGGTGCTGGGCGGGACGACTGCATCCGGCAGCCACCACTGCCGCACGAGTTCTGTGTGGCTGAAGCTGGAGAGGGTGCACAGCCCAGTCGCCGGACAGCCCGACCCAGAGCTGGTGCCGGGGCCAGGAGTCAGCCCTCCCGGGGCCTGCCTGGGGGAGTCGGGGGGCTGGGGAGCCCCAGGGGTCTGATCCCACCCTACGTCCTCAAAGCCCAGGGCAGGAGGGGCAGGGCCACACCCTCCCGCGCCCTGGACCAACCCCCAGCTCTGCGCTGTCCATCAGTGAACCAAGTCACTTCCCCTTCAACGCCGCGGCCCCCCAAGCAAAGGACGAGACAGACTAGCGAGGCGCAGGTCAAAGGTTCATATCTTTTTTGGTTTCATTTTTTTTGTTTTTTGCTTTTGTAAAGAAAAATAAGGCTGCATTTTCTGTCTGAAACAAAACCCAAGTAAAACCCCTCCCAGCTAGCCTGGCCCGTGGGGCGCTGGGCCCGGCTGGCTGCGGCTGCGGCGTGGAGAGGAAGGGACTGGGGAATGGAGTTTGGTTTTGTTACGCAAAAATAAAGTTAAAAACAACACACACTCCCACTAGAGCCCCGGGCCAGACAGGGGCCACTCCAGGCTGGACTCCTCTGGCAGCTGGACCGAGCCCTGTGGCCACCCCAGTCCCCAGGTGCCCACCTTCTGGGTGGTGGACGGGGCAGGAAACAGGACTCCCAGGGCAGGAAGGGGGAGGGTGACGTCAGCACTCTCCTCCCCAAGGAGTTAAAAAAAAAAAAAAAAAACTATTAAAAAAAGCACCCAAAGCTTAAAAAAACGAAAGCTCCCTGGCGGGGAGGGCCGGGGGCTTTCCTGCCCGCCAGCAAGACGCCTGGTGAAGTGTAGAAAAATAAAACTAACCTCTATCCCTGAATGGTAGCGAGGCCCCTCCTCGCCCATGTGGCCCCCCCCAACACCTCACAGAACCCCCCGGGGGCTCACCCTTGCTGCTCCTCGGGTCTCCAGTCCCGCGGGCAGGAAGGGTCCGGGCACAGAGGGGTCGGAAGGGCAGTGGTGGCACCCAAGGGAGGGGGCAGGGGAGATGGAGGCCATGGGGGGCTCAGGTACGGCTCAGGGACTGAAAACCCAGGGCCCACCGGGGGTCTGGTCTCATCTGAGGTCCAGGGGCTCAGGTGAGGATCCCTGTGGGCAGCAGACGAGGGAGGGCCAGAGAGCACCTGGGCCGTGTCCTCACGTTGCCAGGAAGTCCTCAGGGAAGGGGGCCCAAGGGAAGGGAGGGCAGGGGCCTTCTTAAGCCCTGAAGGCCCAGCAGGGCCCACGGCCTGCCCTGGGCACAGCCGACAGGAAGGGCCAGCCACACGGGGGCAGCAATGCCACGTCTGGAGGCCCGGCCCTTCCACTGGACTGGGCGAGGATGCAGTGACCAGGGACCACCCCTGCCTCCCCCAGGGAGCTCCACCCGGACTGGGTGTACAGGAGGAAGAGGTGACCTCGCCGGCAGGCTCCACCAGATGGCAGGGAGGGGGGCCGGGGCGGCCGGCCCCCGGGATCCTTGGCTTGGGGACCAGAGTCAGCACCAAACGACGGAGGTGAGGCCTCGGACCCTCGCGGAGCCTGCGTGTGCAGGTGAGGAGCCGGCGGCCCGGGCGGGCGGGCCAGCGAGGTCGGGCCCGGAGCCGGCAGTGGTGGCAGCAGCGCCCGGCGCTCGGCGGCTCAGCGCAGGCTCTGGTACAGGTAGGCGGAGGTGAAGAGGGCGTTGACTGCCAGGCTCACGGCCAGGAGGCCCTGCACCAGGGAGGGGCCGAGCCGGCCTGCGGGAGCAGAGGGCGCCTGTCAGTGTCCCCAGCCCATGAGAGGACAGGGCGTGGGGGCCTCGGGACCTCCCCGTGGGGAAGGGGCACGCCTCTGCCAGCTTCGTACCCGGGGCACGTGGGGTGACGGCAACAGGCACCTGGCCTCGGTTCCCCCCAGCTCCCCGGTCTGCCTGACGGGGGCGGCGCCGGCCTCCAGAGAGCCCTCGGCTCCTCCGCTCAGAACTCAGCACACGCGCGCCCCCCACCCAGGAGAACTGGTGTCGACTCCTGGACCCCAGCGAGCAGGGGAGCTCCAGGCCAGTGTGGACAGAGGCAGGCCACAGGGCCAACGCCGGGACCCGGGCTCTGGGCTCAGTACCTGCGGGGCCCCAGGAGGCTGCCAGGGCCGCAGGCCCCCTTCGCGACCCACGGGCGGGACACAGACCTTTCCAGGCGCCGGCCTCCTCGGAGCACCCCCTGGTGGTGGTGTCCACTGCACAGGTGGACGACTGGGACGAGTCGTCTTCCTTCTTGATGCACAGGCCGCTGCAGCTGCGGTCTCTGGTCGGCATGGACCTCACGTCTGCGGAGAGGAGGGCCAGGGTCTCAGCCCCGGACAGTGCTCAGCTGGCCCCACCCACTTGCCCCCACCCCTCCACCCCGGGAGCAGGAGGGTGGGGCACTGCTGGGGGGGACGGTCTGGGTCAGGAGCAGCCAGCTCAGCAGTATGGAGGTCCCCTCGGAGGGGGCAGTGCCTGGCCTGGGGGGCCTCGACCGCCCCCTCCGGCCCAGTGTGGCCAGATCGGACACTGCGACAGGGAGTCCACAAGTTCATGTGCAAGTTCTAGACTTCAGATGTTGGGCCAAAGTGCTCAAGACAAAGCAGAAACACCGTGGCCTGGCTGTGCGTGAGGGATCTCCCACCAGTCCCGAGGAATACAGGACCCCAGGGGCAGCCGCGAGACATACGACCAGCCAGCAGAGGGCAGTACCCGAGGGACTCAGGACACCAGTCTCACTGGGTGTCCAGCCTGGGGAGCGGGGAGCGGGCATGCACACCGGGCTAAGAGCAAGGCTCCCCCGCCCCCAGCAGGCTCCCAGGAGGGCTGGGGAGGCCGTACCCACGCTGTGCTTCAGGTCCCGCGCTGGCTGCCTCTGGGGGAGCTGGGGCGGCTCCACGGTGAAGAGGCTGCTGTTGGGGAGCGGGTGCTCGTCTGAGCTGCTGGGGGAGTTGGGGGCCTCCCCGGGGGGCGAGGGGAACAGCAGCAGCTTCTGCCCCTTCAGGTTGAGCCTGGCAGGGCTGATGAGGGGCCTGCGGTGGCGCAGGGAGCCAGAGCTGGAGGCCACGGAGCCGGCCACGGAGGGCGCCGGGGAAGGGAGGGGGGAGGCGGGGCAGCTTCCAGAAAGCAGAGAGAAGTAATCTGCAGGAGAGAGGTGGAGGACGGTGAGGACGCGGGCACAGCTCAGAACCGTGAGGACGCGGGCACAGCTCGGCTGCTGGCACGGAGCCTGCTGTGCGGAGGTGGGGGCAGAGGGAGCCCTGGGGACCCGGCCCCTCCCCCCACACCCCTCGGTTTCTCCCAAACCTGAGCACAAGGCCCTGCTGGGAGAAGTCTGGAGATGGGAGGGCCTGCCGGTGGCTGGGTCTTGGTGCGTGATGTGTCTCCACCCGTGACCCCCCCCACTCCCACCCGACCCTCGTCACCGCCACCCCCACTTCCCAGGAGAGGAAACTGAGGCAGCTCCTCTGTCCCTCCTCAGGACTCCTCGCCTCCTTACCTGCAACAGGGACCTCCCCAGATCGGGACACCTGAGACGGTGGGCGGCTCCCGCTGAACAGGTAGCCGGAGTCTAGGAGAGACACGGCCTGTCAGGCTGCTCACTCCCCATCTGTCCCCCCACCCCGGGCTCCCAGGGAAGATCTGCCAAACCCCGATCTGCCGTTAACGCCACCCTTCCGTGGACACAGGACCACTGCCTGAGGTGTGCTGGGCACATGCCCAGTTAGAAGATACAGAAACCGCAAGGCATGCTGGGCCGTAGCAAGAGCTGGCCTGGATGGCTCCTCGGGCTCCTTGTTCTAGACCTTTCTTCCTTGGAGGGCCCGCTTCCTCCACTAACCGCAGCCCCAGGCTGCCTGTGTCAGACCCGAGAGCCCCAAATGTGCTCTCTTCCCATGTCAGGTGCACCCCAAGAGCTCGGCCCAGTCCCCCTCACGTGACCTATGACTGGGTCCCAGCGTCCAGCTGAGACTGCTCGCTGCAGACGTGGGCCAGCCCCGTACCCACAACCCCGGCCCACCAATCAGTCCTCCCAGGGTCCTTTCTACAGAGCCAGGAGAGGGTCTCCCTGCTGGGCATGAGCCGTAGGACGCGGGGTGGGGTCTGCACAGAGAGGCTGAGACAGCAAGCCGGATGCTGGTCACGTGAGCCGGTCACCTGCAGGAACCTGTCTCTGGGATCCATCCCGGCAATGGGGACCCAGGGACCGCATCCGGCACCAGATGGTCTGCACCCAGACCAGGCCTGCAGAAGCCGGTGGCCGCCTCAGACTGGCCACTCCTAGGCCTTTGCCTCAGGCTGGCAGGGAGATGGCACTGTCCTGGGGGAGGGGTGGGGGGTGGGAGGTCCATCCTAAAGGCCTGCACTGGCTCTGGGAGCCTCTCCTCCCAAGGGGCTTCAGGCAGAAGTCCCAGCCCCTCCACCGGTAGTCAGTGCTGGGGCCCAGTCTGCCCCCACCCCACAAATCAGGGAAGAGTGAAACCACCCTGCAGTGAGCTCGAGGGAGCAGTGAGCGGCCAGGGAGGGGCCTTGGCTGGCACCAGGCCCCCCAGCCTAGGAGAGTGACGGCGGCCACGTGTGTCCAGGGCCGGCTCCAGCTGCTTCCCTGACGAGCTCACTCCCTCCCATCACAGGGCAGACTCCATGGCTCCCCTTCAGATGAAGGGATCAGGAGATGGGCGCAGGGTGCACGCACCTGCCCAGGCCTACGCCTTGTGCGCGAGGCCCCCGGGGCCCTGGCTGCCCCCAGTACTTAAATTCCCCGCATTTGACTCTCATGGCAAATCTGCGCGGTGCACCTCACCGGCCCCAGGTGTCACAAAGGTGACACAGCAGCGCAGATGTGCGGCGTGGGCGTGGGCTCCACGAGGGGCAGAAACTGCTCCCCTCAGAGGTCAAGTCCCCGCCTGCACGCCCCGGGATGACAAACCAGGATCAGCTTATTTCTACGGCACAAAGCTAGCCATAGCGCTGGGGCAGTCGGTGTGGGACTCTGGTGCTGCAGAGGCCCGAGGGTGCCCCCCCCGGAGCACTCCCTTAGGGAGGGGACCGGCTGCAGGCTCACCAGGTGCCCACCCATGGAGGCTCCACCAGCACGCAGGGCCTGAGCCGGAACTTGCCTGCCAAATCCCCGAAGCCTGGTGCAGGGCCTGGTGCTGGCCTGGTGCTGGCCTGGTGCAGGGCCTGGTGCTGGCCCAGGGCTCAGGGCACAGGCAGCAGCCAGCCTCCCCCAGCCACCCGGCTCATGGTTGGCTACCCAGAAACACCCAGAGTGCAGGCCTGCCCAATCCGACCCAGCAGGCCCGAACCCCTTCCCCTCGGCTCGGAAGCTGCCTCCCTCCAGGACCTGTCCCTGCTGTGGGGCACGTGCACTGCGCACAGGACAGGGCTAGAAGCGGCCTGAGGAGCCGAACCCCAGGTCTCAGCAGCAGAGGGACCCCGGGCTGCCTGACACAAAGCTGACGTTGTCTGACTGCTCATTGCCAAGTCTGGCGCCTACAGCAGCTGAGGGGCTGACGTCAGGGCAGAAAGGGTCAAGGCACAGCTCGCGAAGCCGGCATCCCACGTGAGCACACTGGTTCCAGTCCTGGCTACTCTGCTTCTGGTCCAGCTCCCTGCAGATGTGCCCAGCAGGTGGAAAATGGCCTACGTGAGAGAACAGGTGGAGATCCGGGCTCCTGGCGGCTGTGGCCATTTGGGGAGTGAGCCAGCAGAGGGGAGATGAGCATTTCGTCTTGGTATCCCTCTCTGTACTGCCCCCTCTAACCGAATGACCCAGGCCGCCCCTCACGGTCACGGAAGGTGACTCCTGCCTGGTGGTCTCCCAGCGCCAGCCCCAGGACACAGCCCTGCGTGAGGCAGCCCGGGATGCGCCGGGATCATCACAGGGTATGTTTACAACTGGGTTTGGGGGCAAGCATTAGCAGTTAGGACGCCGGGTGAGACGCCTGCGCAACACCCCCCCCCCCCCCCGCCCCGTGCCTAACCTCGAATCCCAGGTCTGGCGCCTGATTCCAGCTTCTCGCTAATGTGCTCTGGGGGGCAGCCTCCGGTAATGGGGTCCTGTCACCCACACAGGAGACCTGGCCTCCTGGGTTCCTGCTCCTGCCTCCCGCCCCAGGCCCAGCCCTGGCTGTTGTGGGCATGCGGGGAGAGAACGGGCAGGTGGGAGTTCTGTCTGGCTCTTTATGAATAAATACCTAGGAGCTTCTTAAACATGGTATTTAGCTTCCTGCCATGGACCTCCTAGATCCTGCAGGGAGAGGCAGAGGACGGGACCAGGCACTGGACCTGAAGGGAGTGCCAGTCCTGGGGCCACACTCAAAGGCCTGGGCATAGTCTCAGTAACAATGGCCAAGCCCCAGGAGGCACCAGGCGCCCCCATCCACCCACGAGGGACATTCTACGGCCAAGGGAAACCGAGGCTACATCCCTTGGCCAAGGGCAATCACTCCAAGGTACGAGTCCAGCTCTGCCTGTCTCTGCAACAGCAGGAGCTCTGACCACCGGCCTGCACTGCCCCCACCTGGCACTCGCCGGAGCCCTGCTCCGTCCACCAGCGCCTGCTGGCCCCTTACCTGCTCGAGTCAGAGAGGGGATGGTTCCCAGTGAGAGCGCCCGGCTGAGGCGGCCGGGCAGCGAGGAGGGCGAGGCCCGCCGGGCAGACCGGAACAGCTGCTGGCTGGTGAGCGGCCGGAAGCCAGGTGGGGTGGGGATGAAGAGGGATGGCGAGGCGCCTCCAACAGCTGGGTAAGGCACGGCCAGGCTGGGGCTGGTGGGGCAGAGGCCAGTGGTGTCTCCTGGGAGGTACCTGCAAGGGCCCGTGGGGCACGGGAGAGAGAGGCGGAGGGTCAGCCAGGAAGGTTCTGGAAGCGGCCTCCAGCCCCTCTCCCGTGCTGCGAGGTGGAGCCCGAGGCGGGGTCCCGGGGGAGGCGTGCGTTAGTTGAAGCAGGAAAGCGTCCCGACCACATTCACGCCATTAGGAGCAGGTGGCTGGGAGGCGCTGGTGTGGCCCACCCCTCCCTGCATGCCCCTCCAGCCCTCAGGCTCACAGCAAACTAGATCCACTACGAGTCTCGGTATTAAAGTGACACTGTCGCCCTCGCCGGCCTCACCCCAGCCCTCGCCTCGATGCAGAACGGCCAGCCCTGTGCCACACGCTCAGTGAAGCTTCCCGGACTCGGATTCCTTGCCACCTCCCACGTTGGGCCCCGGGGTCTCAGCTCAGAGACACCCTCTGCTCCCCACTCTGCCCACGGGTGGCCTCAGGCACTGGAAACGCCCCTGGGACACAGAAGGGGAGGCGGCCCAGACAGAGCCTCGCACGGGACACACGCCAGACTCAAACTTAGCAAAGACCTGCAAATGACCACAAGGCCGCCTTAAAGACAGGTGACAGTGTCTCTTTAACTCGAGAATGGTACAAATCACACCACGGGGCCTGGCGGCCCCAAGCCACGGGGTCAACCATGCTTCTGGTTAGGGCACCCGATTACAGGGGAGGGTCAGAGGCAGTTAATACATTAGCCTGCCATCCGGGTGGAGCATGGGCGTCCAGCCTTACCTCGCTCCCAAGGGACAAAGGAGCCCAGAGGACAACGTGCTGACCAGCGGGCAGGCTGGCCCAGCCCCGTGGCGAGCTGGGGGCTGGCTAAGGTACCCGTGCCCACCACGACCGAGCTCTCGGGGTCGCTAGCCCAGCTCCACGCCACCCATCTCTCCGCCTCTTTTTTCTTCCTTTCCTCCTACGCATCTTTTGTAAGGCAAGCGTGGGATCAGCCGCTGACATCGGGACAACCGTGTGGCCTCTCTGGCCTCCCAAAGTCCCAGGAGGCTACCTGGACCAGAGGCAAGGCCTAGTACTGGAAATCTAGCAAGTCACCAAGCGCTTCCGGACCCCCAGCTGGACACACCCTCGCGCTGCCCTGACCCACGTTCTGAGGGCCTGACGCCCACCCCTCTGTCCCCAAGGCTCTGCGGAATCCGGTCGCACTGCTAAGCAGGGAACAAGACTTTGTAGTCATTTCAGAACCGCGACACCCCTCGGCAGGGTGACACCATTGCCTGGAATGGCCCACGGGAGGTCACATTCAGGAACCTTGGGCCGCGTGCCCCGTCACGCAGGACCCCCATCACCCAGACCCCACCCAGGCCCCCAGCTTCTACACCCACTCCTGCTGCACAGGGGCGGGCCAACTGTGGCCCTGGGACAAGAACCTGGGGGGGGGGGGCGCATGGAGCCAGCAGCATTGGCTCAGGTGAGAGGAGGGCCCGAGTCACAGCATGGGCTGCGGGGGAGGCCAGCTAGGCACAGAGGCTCCGGGGCCCTCCGGCTTCTGTCCATGCTGCTTCCTGCCCTGGCCCGGGCTCAGCCCAGGACGTCACCCAGTCTTGTCCACTCAGCACAGGGCTGGCCCCAATTCTGGTGCCGCTGAGAACGCTGGAGTGAGTTTTCTGGAAGTCTGAGCCCTGTTGCCGCATGCCTGGGCCAGCGTCACTCAATGAGCCACCCTCTTGCAGGGCAGGGTTGGGGGAGGGAGTGGGAGGTCTCTACGAGGCACTCGGGCAAGCAGCCCTGAGGGTTTCAAGGGTGCAGGGTGTTTCCTCCGGGCACGAGGCCCTTCCTGGACAGGGTCTCAGAGTGCAGGCCCCGTTTGGGTGCCCGCCGTGGGCAGGTGACTCGGGCCGGCCGGCGTGGTCACTGGGATGCTCCTGACCCCAGCGGGAGACGAGAGGTCTTCTCGGGCCAGCCCTGTCCGCGTCCAGAGCCGGAGAGCGAGGCCCACACTTTAAGCAGTTTATTCAGACAGGAAAGAGAGGCTCCAGCAAGGCAAGCGAGGACAGCCGGCACTGGCGAGCGGCATCACCGTCACCGTCACCCCCCCACCTGACTCCCGCGCAGGCACCTGCACCCCAGACCCTCCCCCCCCCTAGGGCACAGAGGCCCTCTGGAGAGACATGGAAGAAAACAGGCAGGAAGTCGTGGTGCCTGACGCCCGCCGGGAAGCAGAGTCCCAGAGGCATTTATTGACGACACGGCGGCCAGGGCCAGGGCAGTGGTTACAACACTGGGGGCACTGGACATCGTCCACAGCTCTACCACACGAGGGACAGGTGAGATCCGGCCACGGCACACACACGGGACACGGGCTCCTTCCAGGACTGGGCGGGGCAGGGCGAGGATGCTGGGGGGCTTGGAGTGTCCTGGGACAAGGGTGGGATGTAGAGGCCGAGCCCCTCCCACTCGCAGGGAGGGTCACCAGTCCTCAGGGGGCTCCCGCCCTGCCGGGGGATGGTCTGACCGTGGCCCCCAGGGGAGGGGCTGAGCTGCCTGGCAGGGGTAGGCCCCATCCAGGGCAACCTGCACTTCCTCCAAGTAATGAATGAGACTTTAAAGAACACACGGGTAATTAAAAACGTCACACAACAGGAAAGAGGCCAGGGACGCTTCCGTTGCGAGCCCTGTCCTGAGAGTTTCTTCTGTGCCCACCAGAGGGCAGGAGAGACACCGCCTAGCAGGGCTCTGCTTATCCTAAATAACTTAAGTCAGACACGCACAGGGCCAAGCAAAGCGGAAATCAGCACACAGCTGCCTTCCTCAAGCCCAGCAAGGGTGTACACAGCCGATGACCCAGGCCTGCCACCTTCTCTCCCACCCCGATGGCCGTCTGGGAGTGAAGGGGCAGGCAGGGTACCCTGGGCAGAACCCCCGCCTGCTGCGTAGGGGCTGTGACCCGGCCACACCTCGCCAGAGCAGCAGCCGGCACTGGGGCACTGGGCACGGAAGCCCTGGCATCTCGACTGCCCGCTCCACCCCCGATCACCACGTGCACTGAGCAGTCAGAGGGGCTCTGGGGGGCAGGGCAACTCCCTAGGCCCCCTCCCCCAACAGATTCACAGCACCACGCAGGAGCTCCCCACAGGGGCTCTGCAGGGGCTGACCAGGGTCCCCTCACGCAGGTGTAACCCGCGTCTGTGTCCTGGGCTCCAGGGCACGGGGTGGGGGGAGGGGGCTGGTGCACTCTGGGCCACACCTGGTGTAGGGGTTGTGCTCCGAGTGACAAGTGGCACAACACAAGATCCTGGACGCAGGAGCCGTCCAACCTACACAGGGTCACCAGGAGGCAACCGGCAGGTAAGGGACAACCTTGTCCACGTTCCTCCTGGAGCCCTGGCATCAGCCCCCTGGCCGAGCACTTCGGCATGGGGCAGCACCTCGATTCCCAGGGGGTCCCCCCTGCTACCTTCTGTGAGGTCAGCACCCACGCATGTGCCCTGGAGAGGGGCCACCTCTCATCCAGGCGCTACACGGAGCCGACAGCAGGGGCCTGGCCAGGACACACAACTGGCAAGGAGCAGGTCCGGGGCTCGTCCCTGGGGCTGTGACTTTGGGGACGGGATCTCCGGGAGGCCCCCAGGTGTTTCCACAACCTGTGTGACTCGGTGGGGGGGGGGGGGGCATGTGGCTGAGGCTGTGAGGGCTCTGGGGCAGCCCCCACAGAGGTAGGCCACTGGAACCCCAGTACCCAGGAGCCACTGCCAGAGGCTGGGGGAGGCTGGCGACACTGGCACACTTGAGAGGAACAAGGTGACAACGACCCAGTGTCACTAGGGGCCTGTGTGTCCCGCGGGCCCATTAGCTGTGCCGACCCAGGGCCCACAGAGGAGCGCGAGGAAAAATGGGTGGCCAGCAAGGGCAGCCCTGCAGGGGGTGAGGGCAGAGCGCACCAGGGAAGCTGACAGTAAAGAGGGGGTCAGCAGCCTCCCGAGCCGGACACCTCCCACCACAGCCTCAGAGGGGCCGTGCTGACGACCACCATGCTCACAGCCAAGGCCAGCCTGGGCCATGGACTGCATTCTCCACTCTCGGGGAAGGAGTCAGGCTGCAGACTGACCCAGTGGTAACAGCCGGACGGGATGGACCAGACAGGAGGTTCTGTCTGGCTCCCTCTCCCCTTTGTGCCCCGAGTCTGGGTGGTGGGGCCTTGTGGCCGAGGCCCAGCCCACAGCCCCTGAGCGGGGGCTCTGAGGGACAGGAGGGGGACAGCCGTCCAGTGGTGTCGGAACCTTTCAGAAGGGTCAAGTGGGGCCCGTGGAGCCAGCAGGAAGCCACGAGCACAGGCGGGCTGGGGGCGCGGCCCCTGTTCTGCTCACCGGCTCTTTGGCCAGAGAGGCGGGGGCAGCGGGGGCACCTGCTGGTGCTGGGGGGGCAGGCAGAGGCAGGGCTGGGCCCTGGGGCTCTAGGAGAGGCGGGCGGCGTGAGGCAGTAAGAGCAGACAAGACCGAGAGGCCTGCCCGGCGGGCCTCGGCGCGGGCCTGGCCATCGTGTCCTCCCCCCGCAGTCAGCGCTGCTGCTCTGACCTTCGGGGCCGGGCGCGCCGCGGGCCCGTCGCCTTCTTCGTGGCCACAGCTGCTGTGAAGCCCATCAGGCAGCACAGGGACGTGGTGCTGAACTTGAGCGTGTCCAGCCAGCTGGGCGAGGCGGCCTGCAGGTACTGCTCGGCCAGGTGCAGCCCCAGCAGCAGGGCCCACAGGCAGCTGCAGAAGGCGTCGATCCTGCGCAGCCTGCAGGGGAAAGGCGTGGTGAGCACCCTCAGGCGGCCCCCCTCACCCACACCCAGCCGACCTCAGAGCCTGGGCCTCCTCCACCCGACACCAGGCAGCTCCGAGGCGTCAGCTCGGCTGTGAGGAGCGAGGGGGCACCCAACAGGGCCTGCCACAGGCCACAGCTCAGGAGGGAAGGCCAGGCCTGAAGACCCCCGGGTCCCCAACCAAGGGGGCAGGTGGCTATCATCACCCCAACTACATAGACAGGAGTCTGGGGTCTCTAGGCGAGGGGGGAGGAGGGTGGGCTGCTCCCACGCCAGTGCTCCAAGGCAAGTCATGTGCGCTCACTCCCAGCCAGCAGCCCTGAAGAACCGGCTCATCTCGCTGTGTAGGGAAGCCTGGCCCCGGGCTGTGGCCAGTCAGGCCTCTCGGCTCCTGTCCCCAGGCACCAAAGCAACCTGCACACCCGCAGCACCCACCCTGCCACGCCTGGGCCCTGCACTCACCTGATGCGGCCAGCCAGCAGCATGGCCAGCAGGCAGGTGAGCAGGCCCAGCGCCACGACGCCCGTCTGGTGGCTCTGCCCGAAGGCCCAGGCCTCACGCAGCTTCTCCGTCGCGGGTTCCGGCAGCAGGCCCAGCAGCTGCCGCCAGCTCTCAGCCCCAGCAGCGGTGCCATTGTCAGGCGTGGCGGAGCTGTTGCCACCAGGTGGCAGGGCTGGAGGCAGGGCGGCTCCTGGGGCACAGGGGTCGCTGGGGCCATAGAGTGCGGCGGTCAGCAGGAAGGCGCAGGCCAGGAAGGCCAGGGCGCGCAGCAGGACCACCTGCACCGGGGCCTTGACCGCCGAGGAGCAGAAGCTCTGAGGGGAGAGCAGCAGGTCAGCGAGACCCAGATCCACCCACGGCCGGCCCGCCCCACGCCGGGCAGGGGCTCCGGCCAGCCCCACGCTGAGGGCACCTGGCTCCTGATGCTCCAGCCCCGTGCCCTGCACCTCCCACCCCCCTTCCGGTGGGGAGGGGCACTGTCCCCCACCTTCTCTTCTTACTCATTTATTTACTTTATCTGAGAAGAGAGACAGAGACCTCCCGTCCGCTACGCCCAGGTCACTGGTTCATGCTCCAAACGCCTGCAAGCCAGGAGCTCCAGCCGGGCCCCCACACCGCAGCAGGGAGCCCGCCCTCACCTTCTCATCAAAGAAATATTCTCCCTACGGCGGTGATCTTACACCACACCAGATCAACTTTCCATTCACTGCATCAGGCTGTCACCAAAACCAGTCTGACTTCAACCGAAACTATAATGAATGCACAGACAACCTTGGTGAAAGTGAAAAGACGGTGGCATGGCTGGGCCGCCACAGCTGCAAGTGGGGGTCACGGTGCCTCAGGGCAGCATGGAGGCTGCTGAAGGAGCACACGTGATGGTCTGGGGACAGCACCAGACAGCGAGGCCGCCCACAAACCTACGCTCAGGGACACACAGAGCCAGAGCTGCCGATGCTGGTCTCTGCGCTGGGGTACGCCCACTCTGGCTGCCGACACGAAGGGACCCAAGGGGCAGGGTGGGAAAGTGGCTGCATGGGCCAGGACCAGTTAGCCCCCCAGGCTCACCGGGGGGCCTGCCATGCGGTATGGCGGGTTAAGCTACAGCCTATGGCGCTGGCCTTGCATGTGGGAGCACTGGTTCGAGTCCCAGTCGCTTCACTTCTGATCCAGCTCCCAGCTAACACGTCTGGGAAAGCAGTGGAAGATGGACTTGGGCCACCCATGTGGGAGACCCGGATGGAGCGCCAGGCTCCTGGCTTTGGCTGGGCGCAGCCCCAGCTGTTGTGGCCTTTGGGGAGTCAACCAGCAGATGGAGGATCTCTGTCTCTCTGTGTCTCAACTCTGCCTTTCAAAGCAATCTTGCAAAAAGCAGGGCCAGCCTCGGGCCACCGGGGCCCAGTCTGCGGGAGGCCGTCACCGCCACGGACCTGCGTGTGGGGCTGGTCGGCCTCCCGGCGCTTGAACTGGTGGCTGAGCAGCAGGGCGCGCAGCTGGCGGTTCTGGTGCTTGATGTAGTACTCGACGGCCGCCTGGCACGGCCGGCACAGCTTGTACATCTGCTCCAGGTGGTGCCGGAACACCTCGATCTCCTCGTCGTACCTGCCCTGCGGAGCGACACGCGGGGGCTGGCATCTCAGGGGCTGGGCCGCAGGTCCTGCAAGGGCAAGCTGTCCCTAGTCTGCCCACAGTGCACCGTGACTCGGGCTCCGGGAGCGAGGCCGGCACAGGTGGGGCCTGCAGGGGGCACAGCACCCTGGGGAGCTCTACTGCCCCGGGGACGCACCCACCCCGGGAGCTGGGCTGGGCGCTCTGCTGCCAGGCCTGAGAACCCGACTCAGGGCTCCCTGGAGGGGGAGCTGGAGGGGGGAGGGCTCCAGGCAACTGGGAGGCAGGGCCGCCTCTCTCCCTGAGACTGGGTCTGAAAAACACTAGAGGCCCTACTGGGCCTGCAGGCAAGTCCACCCCCAGCTCCCTCCCTCCCCGTGTCCAAGGGGGACAAACCTCTGGTCTGCAGTGGCAGGAGTGGGGCTTAGCCGTTTGAGACCTGGTGCACCCAGAAAGCTGCCTGGTGCCAAGCACCCTCCCGCCCTCCAGAGTCCCTCGAGTCTCCCTGCTGGCACAAGCTCACCCTGTTCTCCCTTCCAAACCGCACCTGGGAAGCTAGCGTCTCTGGGTTACAGGAAACATGGCCTGCCAGGGCAGGCGGGAGCAGCCAGGGACCAAGGCCCTCGGGTCCACGGGGGGCCCCGGGCATTCCCGCCCCAGCCATCAGAACCAACCGCCCATGGGCAAGTTGAACCCTGAGGGGGTGAGGACAGGACAGTCACCAGGACCCTCCCCCTTGCTCTTCGCAGGACAAACCCTCTGCACTGGCAGGCAGGAGGCCTTTCAGGGTGCACCCAGGCCTGTAGCCAGACAGCAGTGACCGCAAACATGGGGGGCAAGAAGCACGGCTCCCCAAGATGGGGGAGATCCTACACCCCGGCAAGCAGGGGTCCTGGCGCCCTGGCCGTGCCGGGCGGTCGGGGCAGGCGGCCTTACCTCCTCGCGCGGCGCGAAGGCAGCCAGCTGCTTGATCTTGGTGGTCTGGTGGTGGCTGCACCTCCTGCACAGCAACACCTGGCTGCTCACCCACTGCTGCGGCTGCGCGGGGTCGCGGGGGCTGGGGGCGCTGCTCACCACGTGGTTCAGGTGCTCCATGTACTGGGCAGGGATGGGCTTGTTGTAGTCGCCGTTCTGGGGGGAGGGCGGGACCGAGTGAGCAGCGGGCAGGCACGGCCCGGGAGTGACGGCAGAGCCCCCGCTTTACCTGCAGCAGCAGCTGCTTTTCCAGACCCTCGCAAGGACCTTGCGGGCCCGCCCACGTGCAGAGCCCCCCCAGCCTGACTGCCACCCGGAGCCGCCTCCCACCCCAGGCTTCTCCCTGGCACCGAACCCTCAGCTCTCAGAGCTCAGCTTGCACATGGTCAGCAAACCGTGGCCCGTGGGTGGGCCGCCTGGCGGTGTGAGCCAGCAGGCTCGCTCCTTCACGTCTAGTTCCCGGCTGAGCTGGGTAACTGTGGCAGAGATCACACGCCCTGCAAAGCTTGCAATGTTTTCTGGCCACTGCAGGAAGTGCCGGCCCCTGCTCCAGGGCAGAGCTGAGAAGGCCTGGGTGTGCACCCCAAGTGTGTCACCTTTAGGAGCGTGACTTTTGATAAGCTGCCACAAGCCCCAAGCCTGCTTCCTTCTCCTTAAACAAAGGTGCAGGGGAAAAACCGTGGACTGAAGTGAGCAAGACGGAGCACGGCCAGGCCGGCAGAGGAGGGGTGTGGGATGGGACAGGGAGCAGCGCAGCGCCCCCGCCCGGCCGCACCTCCTGGAAGCCGTTGTACTGCTCGCAGTGGGGGCAGTCCCAGCAGTTGCGGTTCCCGTAGGGCACGAGTGTGTCCTGGTTGCAGAACCAGCAGTTGACCATCGTGTGCGTTGGCTTCATCCTGCGGGCCGAGGGACACGGAGTCAGCCTGGGGGACCGGCCTCCAGGGAAAGGGTGCTTGGAGCAGGGTCTGAGGGCCTCTGGACTGGAGACGCAGCCCAGGAGCACAGGACAGCCTAGGGCGAGAGGGGAGAGGGGCGGGGGCAGGCTGCTGTGCCCTCCCAGGAGGACCAGCCCTTCAGCGAGGCACCCGGGGCGCAGCTGGGCACTGCCCACACCCCCACACTCCACCTCTCCAAGAGCTCAGATGTGGGGAGTGTCGGGGACCAGTGCCCAAAGCTCAGGGACACCCCTCCCCCACGGGTCCTGGTCCCAGGCTCTGCAAAGTCTCCGTGGGAGCTGCCGGCTTACAAGGGCTTGCTGTGCCTCCCATGGGGTCCCCAGGCGAGAGCGCCACGGAGGCTGCGGGGTGGGGGCTGGGACAGCTGCTCCTTCCCTGGGGCAGGCAACAAGGGTGGGCAGGCCCAAAGTGTTCCTTGCCGGACACATGTGCGGTGACAGGTGGGGCCTGTGGGATAATCCGGGCCCAGACACTGGGGGATCTGTGCTCCAGGCCCCTCCAGCTGCCTCGCTGGCTACAGGGCCTCGCACACAGCGACTGCCCAACAAGCTCCCCCAGTCTCGGGAATCAGAAACATGGGTCACAAACAGCAGCTGCTGAAGCCTTGCTGCCCCGCCCTCTGCTCTCCCCCATAGGCTACCTCCAGCCCTTGTCCCTCCCTCTGCTCTCCCCCACAGGCTACCTCCAGCCCTTGCCCCGCCCTCTGCTCTCCCCCATAGGCTACCTCCAACCCTTGCTCCACCCTCTGCTCTCCCCCAAAGGCTACCTCCAGCCCTGGAACCCGGCCTGGGCCCCTGCAGAACAGGCAGCCACCCCCGTACAGATGGCCCTGCTGGCTACAGGGCCAGATGGCAAAGCCGTAGGGTCTTCATTCTGAGACAGGACAGATCCAGGGTCCCCTCCTGGAGGTGTGCCTTCAGGAAGTCCCCAGTCTCCCATCCTCGGTGCCCACGATGGTAGAGTGGGAGCAACCACAGCACCATGGGTCCTGCGTGTCACAGGATGCAACGACACAGGTCAGAGGTGCCCTGCGAAGCCAAGGGCCAGTCTGGTCTCTGCCCTGCCCCTCCACTTCTTGCCTCTGACCACGGGCAGGCTAAGGGAGTTCTCTCGTCACCTGTCAGTTGGGGACAAAAACACCTCCCTCTTGGGCCTGTCTCAGAAGTGCTTAACACGAGCGGGAGTTGTGGCGCAATGGGCTGTCATCCATGTCAGAGCGCCAGTTCAAGTCCCGGCTACTCCACTTCTGATCCAGTTTCCTGCTAATGCACTTTGGGGGCAGCACGTGATGGCTCAAGTGCTTGGGCCCCTGCCACCCACATGGGAGACCCAGGTAGTGTCTGGCTCCTGGCTTTGGCCCTGCTTTTGTGGGCATGTGGGGAGTGATCTTCTGATCTGTCCTACACTCTGCTTTTCAAATAGATGAAAACAAGCAAACATTTTAAAAAGTGCTCAGCATAACTGGCCCAGAGGAGAGCAGTCGCACACTGCGGCAGGGGGGTGGGGACCACTGGGTGGCTGGGGTCCCCAGTAGCCTCTGCCCCACACCTCCTCTCCCCCTACCCAGAGCCCCAGCCCCAGCCAAACGGTCACTGTGACAAGGGACCCCCAAGCCTGTCCACAGCAAGGCCCGCCCTGTCCCACTGCTGTGGCCTCACAGACCCTCTGTTTCACTCCTCACCAGTCACGGAGCCTGCTGAGAGCCCCTTCCCCAGAGAGCCACGGGCAGGGCCTCACGAGTGACAGGAGGTGAGAGGTAGGCGGTGCCGACCATGGGGCTGCGGGGCGGCAGGAGGCTGGGGATCTACCCGCTGCAGTGCCCGGTCAGCGCCCCGGGCAATGAAGCACCTGCTAATCTGTAGCTGTTTTATAGGCTCCATAATCTTGTGTCGGGCACATCCTGACCGCTGCTGACCGGGCCAGGGACCTCATGGTCCGATGGCCCTCGGCCCTGTCACCCAGTCTGAGGGGGAAGGCGGCAGTGGGCAGGGCCCGTGGCTTCCTCTGGGGCGCTGCTGCCCCTCCTGCCCCAAGAGGCCACCACTGTTTCCACTCGGACCCCCAGCCCTGTCGCTAGGGAAAGTGTTCCTCATGTGTACAGGAGCCTGGCCTGGCAGGGGCTAAGATAGGCCCCTGTCCCCCTCGCCCCCACCCCAGGGGCCAGCGGCTCCAGCTCTCGTCGCTCGCCGCCCTCGGTAATCCCTGCAGGGCCCCATCTCTCTCCGCCAGAGCGGCTGCTGCCCGCCCTGGCCAGGTGGTCTGTGGCTCTTTTGTGCAGCCCCCAGCAGCGGTGCAAACGCCCGGCCCATGAAATCCTTCGGTCTGGCCCTGCCAAGGCAAGTGTGGGTGGGACTCGAAATTCAATACATTTATAGCAGGCTGATTTTTGAGCTGATCACTTTGTATGGCCCACGAATTATGTCACAAATATCCAACGGCCCTTGGCATTTAGCAGCCCTGCTGGAGGCTGGAGGTCTCAGGAGATGCACAGGGACCCACAGGGACCGAATCTCACTCCCTGTGCCCTGAGCTGGCTTCCCAGACACATGACCGTGACCCCGCCCCACAGAGGAGTGCCCGCAGGTGTCCAGCTCCATCCCAGCCTTGCTGCCCAGGCTTCTGCTCAAGGGAAACACGCCCAGGTGTCCCCCATCGACTCCGCCCACTTGGTGGACAAGGTCTGAGGCAAGGATGGAACGTCCATGCCACGGACACGAGAGGAAGACAGGCCCCAGAGAGGTCCAGGCTGTGGCGCCAAGCCCAGGCCCCACTCCCGGCCAGGCTGCTCTCCCAGCTAAGCTCCTGGCAGCCCTGGGTGGGTGGGCCCCTTGCCAGGAGCGGGGACACCCCACAAAGCCCAGAACACACAAAGAAGCTGACGCGTGCCTCTGACATCAGTCGTAACAACGCGTCTGTCCTGGCATCTCACCGCCCTCGTGTCCTAGGTGTGAGCTCGCAGTGGGGTCCTCGGCCCAGGAACCCACCCGCTGGGGCTCAGCTCTGCCGCGAGCAGCCGAGACCATGGGAGGCCAGCGTAGCCCCCGGCCCCTGGGCAGGGCACAGCCTCTCTGAAAGGGGCTGGGAAGACTTTCGAAGTCAGGCCGGCTTCCTTGGGGTCCAGCGAGCTGGAGGTCAGCACTGGCAGGGCCCCAGCGTGGCTCCTCGCTCGCTCCTCTGCACTCGGGCAGGTGACACAAGGGTCGCCCCATCTGACCGCAGAGTCCACGAAGGCGCCCACTGGGCTTCAGTGACAGCGGCACCAGAACACAACTCGGCATTGCCAGGACAATGGGCTTCTGGCCCAGAGCAAAACACGCAGCCTACAGCGAGACAGCAAACCTGCAAACCACCCCTGCCCTGGGCAGGTGTGCCACCCCGATCGGTTTACCAAACACCACGCCAGGCTTGCAAAACCCAACAAGACACTCCACTTCTGAGCCAGACCCGAGGACAAGGACAGCTCCCGGGAGAGCCGCCGTGTGGGGCCTTTGCCGCCGCTCTGAGGAATGGGTGAGCTCGCCAGCAGGGCAGCGCGAAGGCAGGGACTGCCCAGGTCAGAGGGGACTCGACGAGGGGACACACTGGGCCACCGAACCTGAGGCCGCCTCCTCTCCACCCACAAACACTGGACAGCCGACAGCCCCGGTCAACCCCCAGGCTCCCGAGGGGGACGTCCCTTGCAGAGAATGAATTCTGGACACAACCTGAAGCGGCAAGGGGACACAGGAAGCGACCGGTCACCGTGACTACCGGCTGGAGGGGCGGGCAAGCCCAGGGAAGTGTGATCTGGGTGGCCAGCCGGTGCTGTGCTGGGTGGGCACCCAGGGCAGGAAGCTCGCTGACAGGTGACGTGGGCACGAGGCCGGGCTCTGCCACTCAGCAGCCGGGGGATGCAGGGCAGGCACGCCACTCTCTACAAGTCTGTTTCCCCACTGAAAACCAGGGAGAACACCAGCACCTGCCCCAGCGTGGGGCGCCTGCCGAAGGAGGGGGCAGTGTTCACGTGCCGCGTCAGCACTGGAACCACGACGGGAACCGGGCAAGACTCCCCGAGGCGGAACCAGGGTCAGCCCTGACCGAGACCCCGAGGGAAGCCAGGGTCAGCCCCGACGGACCTGAAAGCAGAGGCCGGGGCTGGAGGCGTCCGCTCTGTCCACGGCCCCCTCCCCTCGGCGCCGAACCTGCCAACAGCACCCAGCGAACCCACGCTGCGGCCAGAGCTCCAGTCTGCACCCTGGAGACGGGGGGACACAGCCTCCCCGTCCTGGTCTCTCTCGGGTCAGCCCAGCAGCCCGAAATCCGGCGCTCCAGGGGCCGTGTCTGAGAACCGTCCTCCCAACACACCGGACCCCTTGCAGTCTGCCGCCCACCAGGGAAAGGGCTTCGGGGGGTCCTCCCGGCTCCTGCTGCACCAACTCTCCCAACGCCTTAGCGGGGCCCCAGACTCCGGTCCGCAGGGGAGGGGAGGCCTGTGACACAAGACCGAAGGAACAGCCACAGCGGGGGCCCAGGAGTGACCGGTTGGGCACCGGGACCCCTGGAGCGACGGCTCACACGTGTCCAGGAGGCACAGCGAGTTCTGGGAATCGGGCAAATCGTGTCTCAGGACCTCGGCTCCCGCGTGCCGCACGGCCCAGGTTCGGACCCACTGGGACCCACCCTGGGGTCTGGGCCATCAAATCGTGTCTCAGGACCTCGGCTCCCGCGTGCCGCACGCCCAGGTTCAGACCCACTGGGACCCACCCTGGGGTCTGGGCCATCAGGGACGCCTCCGAGCCCGCAGCTCCCTGATTCCTGGCTCCCGCCTGCTCCTCCGCTGAGGCTCATCCACGCTCACCTCTTCTCTCTCCCTCCGCGCCCCTGCCCCAGGAGGCACACAGTAGCCAGACCGCCAGGGTTCGAGTCCCAGCCCCGCCACGAGCCGAGCACCCCCCCCCCCCCCCGCGCGCAGCTGCGAACCCACTCGTACTGTCCCTAGAAGGTTCGCACGGCGACACGACCGCCTCGTCCCCCCGAGCCGGGTTCGCAGGCGCAGGCTCCAGGGACACGCGGCTCCAGTTCCAGCAATTGGCTCAGCCCCGGGCGGATGTGAGGCCGGAACGCGCCGGCAGGGACCCCTGGGGGCCGCGCGGCCTGGCCGTTCTCCGGCAGGTGCGAGGAGCCCATGAGCCCCCAGCCACCCCCCGACAAGACTCGGCTCCAAACTCGGTCTCGGGGTGGGGGCGGAGCGCGCCGGCCGCGGGGCAGGCCGAGGGCCGCGCGGGCCGGGCCCGCGCACTCACCTCCGCGCGATCCGGTAGAGCAGCACGCCGGCCGCGGCGCACGCCGTGACCCCCAGGCCGCCGGCCAGGCCGGCCGTGGGGCAGCTGGCCAGCAGCGCGCTCACTCCCTCCATGGCTCCCCGCGCGAGGGCGGCGGCGGCGGCGGCGGCGGCGGGGCCCCGGCTCGGGCCGCAGGAGGACGCGGGGCGGCGGCGCGCGCCTGCTCGCGCCGTGACCTTCGCCGCTTTGTAGCCGGCGCGGGCCCACCCCCTGACTCGGCGCGCTCCCGCTGCGCAGCCAATCGGGGCGCGGGGCGAGCGCGGGGGGCGGGGCGCTGGCGGAAGCTGCGGCGCCCCCGCGCGGCTGGAGGTGGAAGCGGCGCGCGTTCCGGCGCCCAAGCCCCGCCCCGCCCCGCACGGCGCCCGTCCGCGCCCGCGCAGAGCCGAAGCTCCGGCTGCGGGGAGCTCGCCGCGCGGCGCGAGCCCACGGAGCGCCTGAGCATCTCTAGGCTGCGGTCTCGTCTTCAGACGCCTAGGCGAGCCCGGCCTCTGCGCTCCAAGTGCAGCTCCTTGAGGCACCCCAATGGTTAAAAGCTTGCGAGGAACGCGCGCGCGCGTTGAATACCCCGGGACCCCCGCCCTGCACAAAAGACAACCGTTATGAAGAGGTGTTGGCCTGGGACGACGGTACCCTGTGTGATTTCTTCTAAAGGCAGTACGTACATTTTTACAGTAGTCCAAGCTTGAATAAAGCCTCGTGTTTGTAAGACCCAATGACCTGGGCGGGGATTACGCGTGTCGATTTGAGCGAAATCCCTGGCTCCAAAAAAAGATCAGAGATCTTTGCATCTAAGGGCACAATACGTTTCAGTGTTTCCTGAGGTCAATATCGAGTCCTCGCGGATGCTAAGGGTTACTACAGGGCGAACGTCACCTGTGCGCATGCAGGAGGCCGGAGGACTGACCGGAAGCTGAGCCCCAGGACCCCAGAGGCTGAGCGTGGGCCGGACTCCACCTGCTTCCTTGGAAATGGGTTCCGGAGCGAAGGCCAGCTGGGAGCAACCGAGGTGCAGCTTCGGGGTCTGCTAGGCCCACCCGTGTGCGGCCGAAGTGCGCATCCAACAGGGCCCCGCAGAGCCTCGGTGCGCGCACCGACCACTACCATCGCCTGTGGATTTGTACCTTGAGTGAACAGGACCGAACGACTTGCTGGACGCTGGCTTTGGGGGCGGCCCCTCCAGCAAGCTCCCTGCCCACCCCCACCCCCACCTTATTCACTTAATCAACAGGCGGTGCAACCAGTCTCGCCGTTGGCTACCTTCGCACTCAAACCTCAAGCCAGTCACGCTCGGAGCCTGTGTTACTCGTTAAAATGCGGACCACACGGCCTGCCTGCAAGGTAGTCAGAATTTAAAGACGGCACCTGGCAACCTGCAGAGTGTGTGGCACACACCGCGCAGGCCACGAGGGCCCTTAAGGCACGAAGACATGATGTAAAAGTAATTAAACCCAGTGGCTAAGCCTTGCATAGCTTAGATGCTTCTCCTCTTTTATAGATAAAATATTTGAGCTGAAAGGTAGAGAAAGAGAGACAAACCTCCAATCCCTGGTTCCAACCCCCAGTGGCCACAATAGACGGGGCTGGGCTAGGCCAGGCCAGAAACAGGAGGCCTGAACTCAACCCAGGTCTCCCACGTGGGTGGCAGGGACCCAGCGTCCTAAGCCATCCCCTGCTGCCTCCCAGGGTGCTCATCGGTAGGAGGCTGGGATTGGAACAAGGCACTGGTAAGGGATGCGGGCGGTCCAAGCAGTGTCCTAAACCCCTATGCCAAACCCCCACCCGGCAATCTGATTCTTAAATCTTTAGATAAAATGTGAAGAATTCAGGTTTCTGATGAACATGGACATAGAAGGAGTTTACTGAATGCTTCGGTTAGAGCGCGTTTCTGGACTGGGGAGCCCTTGCCGTCACACATCGCAGAAGCACGGGAGCCTCACCGAAGTCACTCATTCCTAGACGGCTGTCGAGAGCTCAACGCCACCAGCCACCCTCCCCCCGACTACAGAGCTGAAGATCAGACGCAACTTCAATGCAGCTGAAAATTATCCTCCCGCCCAGCCACAGCGTCTGCCACTGAATCTGAAATCCCAACGCACCAGCAATTAGAAGCAAGCATCACCCAGACGTTCAGGTTGAAAATAACGCGAGAGTCCATGAAAGAGCTCCTGCAAGTCTGCTCCACTCACCTGCTTTATGTCCGACAGCGATCCTTGTGTTCCCTGATTAAATGTCCTTTAAAACAAGGTTGTGGCGCTGGTGTTGGGACTCAACACTGGCAACCCGTACGGCTACTGGTGTGACTCTCAGCTGCTCCACTTCCAATCCAGCTCCCTGGGCCCCATGGGAGACCCACATGGAGTTCCGGGGCTGGGCCAGGCCACGGGGGCAGTGAACCAGCCATGGAAGACTTCTCTCTCTGCCTCTTGTCCCTCCCTCCCTCCCTAACTCAGCCTTCCTAATAATAAAAACGAGGGGGTTAACTCTTGCTGTTTTTGGAGTATTTAAACACCACCAGTGCCCTGTCAGAATACAAGTACACTCCCCCAGGGCTGGCAGGCCGTCCCCTGGGCCGCTCCTCTTCTCCCAAAGTAGAGACCCAGTGACAGGGTGACTGCTCGTGGCATTGTACAGGCACAGCCGCTCAGAGGCTGCGCGGTCCAGGCTCTCAAGTGTCTGAGCGTGACCAGGGGAAAGTTCTGGAAGCATCTCCAGGAGCCAGACAATTGAGGAAGAGTTCTTTAGAGCTGCTGCATTTGGGGCAGTGGTCAAGACCCCACTTGGGGTGACCACATTCCACATCGCAGTGCCTGGGTTTGAACCCTCGTTCTGCTTCCCATCCCAGCGTCCCACAAACGTGCATCCTGGGAGACCCAGGCTCCTGGCTTTGGCCTAGCTAGCCCTGGGTATTCAGGAGTGGGCCCACAGATGGAAAATTTTTTTTTTTTTTTTTTTTTGACAGGCAGAGTGGACAGTGAGAGAGAGAGACAGAGAGAAAGGTCTTCCTTTGCCGTTGGTTCACCCTCCAATGGCTGCCGCGGCCAGCGCACTGCGGCCGGCGTACCGCGCTGATCCGATGGCAGGAGCCAGGTGCTTCTCCTGGTCTCCCATGGGGTGCAGGGTCCAAGGACTTGGGCCATCCTCCACTGCACTCCCTGGCCACAGCAGAGGGCTGGCCTGGAAGAGGGGCAACCGGGACAGAATCCGGCGCCCCAACCGGGACTAGAACCTGGTGTGCCGGCGCCACAAGGCGGAGGATTAGCCTAGTGAGCCGCGGCGCCAGCCGGAAAATCTTTAAGTACATAAAAATAAGGATAAATTTATAAAGCTCCCACCTTTGGTTCGCATGGGAGAGAAGGTAACTGTCAGGGCTGTAGGGGTGGCACATGGCACAGCAGGTTGAGCCACCTGAGTGACTTCAGTGAAGTCTAAGGTGCACGACAGGACAGGGCTTCCTAGTCTAGAACGCGTTCTGACTGTAGCACTTAGTAATGCCTTCGATTTCCATGTTCACCGTAAAACCTGAATTTCTCCTCCAGATGTTACCTAGAGGTTAAGCTTGCATCCCACATCAGAACTGCAGTTCGAATCCCAGCTACTCCGCTTCCAATCCAGCTTCCTCCTAAAGCACCTGGTAAACACAAGATGATGGCTCAAGCGCTCGAGCCCCTGGCATCCCCATGGGAGCCCTGATGGAGTTCCAGGCTCCTGGCTTTGGGCCTGGCCCAGCTCCAGCTGTTGGGACCATTTCAGGAGTGAACTAGTGAATGGAAGATCTCGCTCTCTCACTGTCAGTCACTCTGCCTTTCAAATAAACAGATAAATAATCTTTTTAAGATTTTTTTTTTTTCATCTCAGCAGCCCAAACACTTAGATCATCAATCTGTGTGGAAAAGTGGCAAAGACAAAGGAGAAACGGAGCTGGGAAGTTGGTCCTGTCCCACACGGCGCCACCAAATGCGCCGCTTCCTGCCTGCGCAGCAGCAAGAGCTTCAAGTCTCCACATCACTGTTTCCTCTGTATTTCCCGGGCCCGAGCCCGGGCCTGGGCCTGTCTCACGGTCAGTCCTTAGCTTGTGTCTACAGCACTACAAGCATGAGAGAGGACACCACCAAAAGTGTAGACTTAAATTAAATAGCATGATTTAATTTAGTTACTGCTTAATTCTGAATTCTCTTAAGTTAAAAAAAAAGTCATAATTAACTATTAACGTTAATGAATTTAAACCTTCCAGAAAGCATGAATCCAAAAGGAAATGTCCCACAGGAAATATGAGCCAGGTAGTTTATGGCCAGTTTCAGTCTCAAACGTTCTAAACAACAATGGGGAAAAAAATCTCTAGAGCTTTCTGTCCGAGTCTCGCAGAACACGACCTTTGGGCCTGTCACTGGGTTCGGTCCTCTAAGAGGTACACAATCAGCTCGTAGGTGGACAGCACAATGGCAGTGTTGGGGATCTGCCGGATGAGCTGGGCAAAGAGCCCCCGGTAGAAGGCGAGGTAGCCCTCCTCCCGGAACACCAGGCGCGCCGTCTGCAGGAAGGTCTTGTACTTGGTGCCCTCCTCCCGCAGCCGCGTCCGGATGACCTCTGCAGAGACAGGAACACCCAGTTATGCTGCAAGTTAGGAGAATGGAAGACAGCACACAGCTCTTTCACTCCACCGGACACTCTGAATGCCCTCTCAGGTCTGCTTGGATGGGACGACCTCAGAAGTGTGGGCAAAGGAAGGTCAAGTTCTGTTCAGGACATCTTGTTCCCCCAGCCCTGGCCTCTCCTGGGCTCCTTCCCCTCTCTCTACTCGGCTCAGCATAGGAACCGCCCCCTCCTGTCTCGGCCTCGCCCTAGTCGCCCGGAGCCCCAGCACACCATGGGGGCCAGGACCTGTTCCTGCCTGGGCTGACCTTGTGCACTTGGCACAGCTGACAGAGCAGCAGGCTTCTCACAACAAAAGCTGCTCTTCACGCCACAATAAACTGAGCTTTCCTTTTTCTTAAAGTAGGTCAGCACATTAGTAATTTTATAATTCTTAAAGAACAGGGGCAGGTGTTTGGCCTGGTGCCAGCTAAGCTTCCTGCAAACCATACTGGAGGGTCTGAGGTCTTTCCTGACTCCAGCCTCCTGCCCCTGCAGACCCCTGCCATCCACGTGGGACACCTGAACTGAGTTCCTAGCCCC